CTTTGTTTTGTGGTCCCACCAGTTCTTGCTTGCAGGCAAATGGTATTTCTTGCAGACATTCATGCTAGCTGGGGAATACTGGGAGTTGAAGTCCCAGAGATGATGTCCCCATCTTAAAGTTGCCAAGTTTGAAAAACACTACCCTATACCAATGCTGTGCCCAATTCCATCTTGATCTCTTCTCTGCAAAGGCTTGTTTTTTCCATCTTACTCTCATGGCACCTGAGAAGTGATTTCATATTCCTCCTGGAGATATTTTTGGGCTTCTGTTACTGTGCTACTGAAGGTGAAGTAATTTTCTTGTGGCCCATTCTTCCTCCTTGGCTGCGCCCATTTCTCAATAATAAGAGAAGTTCCATCCTGACAAAAGGAAATGTGGAAGAGTTCCCCCATTGAGGGGAGATGGGCGGTTAAATAAACAAACAAACAAACAAACAAACAAATAAATAAATAAATAAATAAAGTGGGGAAGCCTAGAAGGCTGCAGACTGCTAGAGCAATAATTGCATAGTGAAGGACAGGACATTCACGCAAACTCACACCTTTGATCAGCACATCAATAAATAAGAATACCCAACTCCACCCAAGAACATGTTGCCAAGGCTCCTCTGAAAAAGAAACTCTCTTGCAGCCAAAATGCAAACTGGTAGGAGCAGTGGGAGAAGAAATATTCCACAAGGCAACTCGTTCCCAAAGGCTGCATTTTCCAAATGGGTGGGTCCCTGAGCCATTACTCCTCTCACAACTTTGACGCACACCTTAGCATTTCTGACAGAATCCAAATGGGTGAACCTGGGAAGAAAGTTCCTGTGTACATTTCAACATTAAAAGAGCATCTCATTTTAGCATGAGGTTGACTGTGGCCTCCCACAAGCACCTGGTGTGTTCCCACTCAGCATTATGTCAGAAGAATGCCACAACAGCTCTTGCCAACAAACCCCCTTGTTATTTCTGGCTGTGTTGCCACCACCCAAAGTGCTTTTGCGCATAGAAGAGTGTGTTCCTGAGGCAGGGAATGGAAGGAGGAAGGAGGAAGAAGGAGGATATGACAAGTGCAGATTTCCAAGCACAGTGAGGCTGTAGGTGGCCAGAAACTGAGATAAGTTGCAACAGAGACCATACCCAGAAGTTAGAAAATAGTGGCTGGCTTCATACAGCCCAAGACTGAACCAGGGTTTACAAATCACAATTTCTGTAATCATATAACGTGGGAAGCCCTCCCAAATCAAACCATCAACCTGAGGCAGGGTGGTGGAGTGGTTAAGGTTATGGACTAGGAGTGGGGAGACCCAAGTCCAAATCCATCGTCAGCCACGGTGGAAACTCCCTGGATGACCTGGAGCCAGTCAAGTTATTTTTGTGGGAATAAAACGAAAGGAGGTCCCTACATAAGCTGCCTTGGGTTCTTGAAGAAAAAGTGCCATATCAGTCTAACAAACTGGTCAATAAAGTGGCTTAACAGAAGGGCTTACTTCATGCATCATAATGCATAATGCATAATGCATAATGAAATGGTTAGGCTGCCCAACAGACCGGCCCATATACGACTGAATGCCATCTTATGGCCCTAAGGCCATGTCATGCAGCCAGGACAAATGTCAGTGCTCTTCACCACTGCCATGCTTCCCAAGAGTGCTGGGAATTTCAGCCACGTCTGGAATGCCAGAAGCATGTACCCCTGCTCTAGCCAACAGACAAGACAGCTTCCCTTGGCCCATAGGCCAGAGGAAGCCAGGTGATGCTCCAGGACTCAGAAGCCAGGACTGGATGGCTGACTGGGGCAAAGAGCAGAGGACACTCTAACCAGCTGATCTTCACCTCTGCCCCCCACCTCCCCCCGGCTGCCTTTGTGGAGGCAGAGAAGCAGGCGACTTCCCATCCTTACATTCTAGATTTCTGGAGTTTAAACCAAGGAGATAACCTCTGCTTTTAGCCTCGCTGCTTTTAATGGCAGCGACATACGCTCCCTGTCCTAGCCGCGTTCCCTCATTTTATGGCTTTTATTTTTAGAGGTGCCATTATGAATGGGGCTGCCCCCTCCCCTCGCCTGCCATCCGCTCATTAACAAAACAAGGTTTTGCAGAAAGAAGCCCAACGGCTCCAGCTGAACGAGCAAATGACAGATGAAAAATGGCTGGGGACATTTGCCGGGGCCGGATGGATTAATACTATGGAACGGTTCCCTGGAGGGGAACCATGGCTTTTTCTTAATGATTTAGCAGGAGGACAAGGCTCATGGCCTAACAATATTGTGCCAACCACGAGTTTCAGTGGCCAGAAATCTGGCTCTCAACCCACGTGGCATCTCACAGAGTAAATTTAGATGGCTGGAAGATAAAAATGATTACTAATGAGGGAAGAAATAAACAGCCCCACTTGCTTATGACAGGGGGAGGTTGGTGGTGCCCGCCAACACCTGCCTACCCAAACGGATGTTCATCTTTAAAATATAAATTAAATTGGGCACGGCCCCTCCTGCAAAGCAGCCTCATCTTGATTTCCAAGAATGTCTCGAGGCTCTATTCAGATCCCATCAGCATTTACAGAAAATAATAAGTAAATAAAATTGTCTGGAAGATCAGCTCTGATGGAAGGAAGATCCTGGGGAGACCAAAGGGGCGTGTGCGTGTGCATGTGCGTGCACACACGCGTGTGGTATGTGGCAGGCAGGCCCTCAATGCTCAGAAAATAATTCAAGCAAACAATGACATTTACATTTCTCCTTGCTAGATCACTTTTACCTCCATCTGACTGGTGTGAGCAGCTAGAGGACAAAAATGTTGTTCTAAAATGTTAACATATGTACTGATAGTCCCTGACTTACAACGGCAATTGGGACTGGAGCACATGAAAGTGTGCTGGCATTTGGGACCAGAGTGCGTGACAATGGCAATTGGGAGGGTGCATGAGAGGCATGGTGCAGCATGCGGAGGGTGCATGGGGGTGCGCAAGAGGTGCTGTGCAAGTTGGGGAGGGTGCAAGGGGGTGCATGAAAGGCACTGCATAGGTTGGGGGATATGTGAGTGGCACTGCGCAGGTCAGGTAGGGTGCACAGGAGTGCATGAAGCACCGTGTGGGAGGGTGTGCAGGGGTGCGCAAGAGGTGCCATGCAGGTCAGGGAGGGTGCATGGGTTGGGGAGGGTGCGCAGGAGTGTATGAGTGACGAGCGTGGCACAAGCACAGAGGGGCTGGGGGAGGGTGCGCAGGTGGGAAGACTTACCCCAGGGACTTGCAACCTTGCCTGCTGGCTTCCCCATTGCCTTCCTGGGGAAGCCAGCAGAGAAGGTTGCAAATGGCACCGGGCAACCAGTCATATGTGCGAACAGGTTGCCAAGCATCCAGATTGTGATCGTGTGACTGCAGGGGTGCTGGGATGGGCAGAGCTCCAAGGACCAGTCATAACCACCATTCGCACAGCGCCGTTGTAACTTGGAACAGTTGCTGACCGAATGGTCATAGGTCGAGGACTACCCGTACGTTGTTTATCACTGTATTACACACATACAAACACTCTCTCTATTGTGGATACTGACTGCAATTTGTGCTTCCATTCCAAGCTTTGTTTTGCTTTGTTTCTAAAAGGCATGGTCCTCATTAAGAGAAAATGAAATGAATGAGAGGGAGAGGTTGACGTTGCCTGGGCGCCCTACAAAATATGCTGCCAGCTCCCACTTAGCAATGACAAGTCAGGAGCCACGTTTTACAGAGAAACAGCTTGGAATAAAGGCCCATCTCCAAGCAGCCCCAGCTGCTACTCCCCTCCCTGAATCCAAGCTCGCCTACAGCCCCATACCTGTGATCCTGTGCAGTGTACTTGAGCAGTTCTGCAAGCTGCAGAGGATATTTGCAGATCTTCTGGACAGGGGTCAACAGGAAACCATCTATGGCAATATCGATCATCTGCTGCAAGAGACGGCAAGCTTCGAAGAAGTGCTGGTACCTGCCGTCTTTCATTAGTTTGGAAAGCTCCATGCATGCATCCAAGTGGTTATTACAGTACTCGGAGTAGATCCAGAATCCATCTTGCTACAGAGAGGAGAACAGGAGGAGGAAGGGGCAGAATGAGTTGTGCCATAAAGAAGTAGCCACAGGGCAGATTTCAATCACAACGAACAGGTTGACCAAAACTGCACTTGGAGGAGGCCACTGGGACTATGGAGTCCAGCCCTGGACCCAGTGCAGGGATCTAAGTTAAAAGCATTCCTGACAGATAGCTGTCAAGCCTCTGCTTGAACATCTCCATGAAATAAAACCTGCAACCTTACTGGGTCAAGCCGCTCCTCCTGTTAGGATGTTTCTCCTAACGTTGAACCAGACTCTGTCCCTCTGGAATGGCAGAAGGTTGTGCCGTATCCTGCATTCAGCGAGGGATGGAAGTTAGATCTAGGTCTTCTTCTCTGTACACCCCTTTAGGTAACTCAATAATGCTATCATAGGACCCTTCAGTTACTTTTTCTGTAGACCAGTGTTTCTCAACCTTGACATCTTTAAGATGTGTAGACGTCAACTTCCAGAATTTCCCCACCAGCATTTGCAACTTTTTTACGATGGCCATTAAGCGAATCACATGGTCATTAAGCAAATCACATGGTCGTTAAGCAAAGCCAGCTTCCCAAATGAATGGTTTTGGTGGAATTCACTTAATGACCATGTGATTCACTTAACAACTGCAGCGATTCACTTAATGGCCATCATAAAAAGGTCGCAAATCACAGTCACGTGACTACAGGGGGGTCATAAAGCACTTTTCCCAAGGCCGTCATAACTCTGAACCATCATTAAACTAATGGTCATTAAAAGCAAGGACTACCTGTATATGTTTCACTGAGCCAAAAGTGCTGGAGCCTGGCCAAGAGTGCCATCAAATTTCTCAAGTATAAAGATACTTAGGATCTGGTGTTGCAGCCTGTATTGCCAATTGTGCCAGCTCAGGTTTCAGTTATTCAATTTCAGCTAGTATCTGCTCCATGCTGAGGGCTGCAGTAAAGGGGGGAGATTCCTTTGATGGCAGTTGCAATCTGTCCTGTGCCACCAATTACAAGTGCAGGAGGTCAGACTCAGATCAAAACTCTTTATGGTAGCTATAAATCTCATCACAGTGCAAGAGGTCCGGAAAGCTCAAAAAACAAAAAAACAGAGGCGCATGCTTCAGAAACAGAGGTTCCATGCAGGCAAAGTCAAGATGCAGGAATCAGAGCTGGGTGCAGAAGTCTCGTCTTAGTCCTGCTCTTTCTGAGCTGCGTCTGCAGGTGCCCAAGAGCCTGCTGGCTTCCAAGATCAGCCTCTGTCAAGCCCTGCTCCTCCAATTCAGAATCTGACTCCTCAGAGGCCCAGAACATGGACCACTCCTTTAATGAGCTCGTTTCTCCCATCAACACCAGTGCAAGTCCCCCCAGTCTCCCTTTGCCTTTCTTGGTAAGTCGGCAAAGGCCATTTCTTTGCCATCTTCATTTGGAAACTGATCGCTGAAGTTAAACTTTTTGAACCTTGTGGCAAGAACCATCCTTGGGACAAAGTTGTGACAACCCCAGATGGATTACGGCAATTCTGTTTTCTTTCATTTCCTTTTTTCAAAGCCTGTTCATAACCCAAGCCATTGCTCTAAAGACAATTTATGAATGAAAACGAGCAAACAACGAGAATGGATAATCTGGCATTAGGATGCAAGATGCTCAGAAGGGTTTTAATGGCATCCTGTAGAGGAATCATGGGCAACCGCCATGCATTTCTCTAACACTCTCCAGAGCCTTCCTGGTGTGAAATGGAGTCTGGTTGACACAGAAAGCAACCCAGTTACGCTTCCAAGGATCCAGCGCCCTGGATAAGTGGCATTTTCTTACATAAGCACCAACGTATGGCTCTTTCTTCCCTAAAGGAGAAGCTGGAAAAGATAAGTTGCATGCTTTTCTTGACATTTCTAGATATATCTACGGTCCCATCACCCTGTAAAATGGTATTTATGCAACAGGCAAGAAAGTGTGAGCAAAGAGTCTCTGAGAGCCATCTCTGTCAGCACACACATCCTGTTCCTCACGCGTGTGTTACAGTTTTGTTTTCTTCCGTGCTTTTGAGTCCATCTTGCCTCCAGGTCCCTGCCTGGGCCAATCTCTGCACCTTTCTTGGCAACGTTTTCAGCAGTGGTTTGCATTGCCTTCTGAGGGCTGTGAGAGAGTAACTGACCCCAAGTCACCCCGTGTCAGCCCTCTGAGGTAGGCAAGAGCAGGAAACCAAAATCATGAATACTAATACGACTTTTATTGTAAAGTTACAGTAACAGAATCTTGCAAGTCTGAACGCGCCTCTCCCCTCCCTGCCTTTACATTCCAGAGAACCAGGGAGGATCAGTTCTGAGACATTTTCTCAAATTACATTTTTGGTTTGGACTCAGATTTCGTTTATCAGACCATTGTCTAGGCTGCGGCTCTTCAAGGTTATTCTCACAGCCCGTTACGCCCAGCTGGCTTCGTGCCTGAAGCAGGACTAGAACCAGGTCTTCTGGTTTCTAGCCTGGTGCCTTTAACTACTACACTGAAGGCCACTGGACCAAGTGCAGGATTATGACCCTGCAAATCCAGATCCAAATATTTTCTTAGCCATTCAGACTTGCAAGAATGAGGTCAGCCCTTCCAGGAAGACCAGATTAAGAAACCATTGCCCCGTAGATCAGTACTACCTTTATTGTAAAGTTATAGTAACAGGATCTTGCAAGTCTGAATGCGCAGCCCGCTTCCCTCCCTTTATCTTTGGGTGAACTAGGGAGGGGCTGAGACATTTTTTCAAGTTATTTTCTTGGCCCGGGCTCAAGCTCCTCTTATCTGACCATTGCCTTGGTAGTGGCTCCTCCTACTGTCCTACAAGGCCATTCCCTCTGCCCTCTACAGCGCCCCTTCACTGGATATATTCAAGGAGGAGTTTTATGTTTTGAATTGGATTCCTCCAGTAAACAGGCAGCTGGGCTTAAAAATACTGCCCACCAGCCCCAATTCTGTAATATTAATTGAGAACAGGGACCACTTTATAGGCTTATCTTCTTCCTGTCTTTTGTCCTTGTGTTATCCTTGTTCTGCACCCTTTGCAATATCAATGGAGTGCTACAAGGTTCAGTCCGGGGCACTGTACTCTTCCACATTTTTATTAATGGCTAGGAAGACAAGCTAGAGGGAGTGCCTATCAGATGTGTAGATAACACAGAATGCAATCCTGGTTTTAGTTTCCCTTATTACAGTCATCAATTAGAAAAATAAAAGGAAAAGGAAAAACATTTAAACATCTCACAGTGCCAGCACAGAAACTCTATATCTATATCTATATCTATATCTATATCTATATCTATCTATATGCATGCAGTTTCAGTGATTTGAGCTGTCGTCTTCATGCAGTCCTTATGTAGAATAAATCAAAATTCAGCAATCTTAAACACAGGTTATTGTATTAATCTGATAATAAATAATTTACATTAAAAAAAAAATCTGCTGGTCCTGGGTGGTCTTTGGAAAAGGAGGATGCTAAAGATGATAGATATCTCTCTTAGAATTGCAACGTAACATTAAGTGCAGTGTGATTTCCAGACACCTGTATTACAAGGACAGTAATGCTGAACATTCGGTTTTTATTCCAGCACTGTTGTGTGTTGGTCATCAAAACAACTCAGGATAACTACTCCTCTGCACTATTGGGGCATGACAGCAACACTGAAAAATGCTTACTGGCCAGCTTCGGTGGAAGATGACTCAAATCATCCACATATACATCAAGCAAATGGATGTAAAAACTTAAATAGTAATGGCACCCAGAGACAGGGTTGACTCATACCCTAGCCGGTTAAAATCTCTTTGGTTAGTTGCCCTAAAATACTGCAACACATTTGAAGGCAGGAACTCTCATATAATTTGTGTATAAATAAGAAAAGGCAGCTATCAATCAAGGAACTCAACACTGCAAAACACCTTTGAACATCCGGTCCTGTTTTTCTGCCAGCTGTTGTAGTATTAATGTATCAATTTGCCATGTTTAGAAACTTTAAGAAAGCTTGCAGGGCACTAATTTGCAGGAGAGGTTCTTTGATTCCTTCTTGCACAAGAAGAATTACTACTGCTATCCCTCAGTCATTAGTACAAAAAGAATGCTATCAATAGTATTGATGAGGTCAAAATGAGGTCAAAATTGGAACTCACAATTTAATATGGTCACAGTAATTTCTACTGTAGCCAGATCATTTCCTGGGTTTTTACCTATTTTAAATTGATGGACCAGGGAAGGTATATCCTTAGTTTATAACCCAATTGATAATTTGTCTGCATTTAATCCTTTAATTAATGAAGATACTGAAGAGGTGAATAGCTTCTGCCTTTTAGGATTGACTGTCAACAGTAAAGAAACCAGCAGTTAAGAAACACACCACAAGACACATCACAAACTAGCCCTTGGTAGAGAAACACACCACAAGACACATCACAAACTAGCCCTTGGTAAAGTAGCAATGAAGGCCTTGGAAGGATAGTCAGATGCCATGATGTGTTGATTCCTACAAAGATCAGACTACTTCAGGCAATATTTTCCCTGTGATACTCCATGGAAGTGAAAGTTGGACTTTGAAGAAGCAGGACAGGAAGAGTATTCATGCTTTTGAATGTTGATGTTGGAGAGGACTTCTGAGAATACCATGGACAGCCAAGAAAACAAACCGATGGACCATCACAAATCAACCCAGAGTTCTCACTCGAGGCAGAAATGATCAGGCTCAAGTTACCATAAGTTGAACACACTATACAAAGACCAAACTCTCTTGAGAAATCTTTAATGCTGGGAAAGAAGAGGATGAACAAGGTGGATAGATTCAATTACAGAGGCGATGGTGCACCATTAAGAGACCTGAAGGGTCGGGTTGCAGACAGATCGTTCCAGAGAAGGTCCAACTTGATGGCACTTAATCAATCAACATAATCAATCTATTCAATTAATCTCCTAGGGATCTCTACCACATACAATAAGCAAAAAGAATCCTTTTCTGCTTTAACTGAAATATGGCACGCAGAACGGAACAGACCTTGATCTATCAAAATGAACTTGATAAGTTAGCAAAATAACAAAATTAAATTTAACAGACAAATGCAAAGTTATGTACTTAGGGGACACAAATCAAATGTACAAATATAGAATGGAACATGTCTGTGTGGGCCATAATAAAAATATATAATTAATAAAATATATACCTAATCAAATAGTAGTTGATTACAATTCATCTGTTCTGATTATTTGAATCAGTCTTGAAAAACAATCCAATCTGGATATTCAAACTGAATTTTTAGATTTGATTAATCCAATTCAGATTCCTGAATCCAGTCACAAAAAGCAGTATTCATGTATGGGCAAAAGCAGATTAAACTACCTGAATTGGTTTGGAGGCTTCCAAATCAATTCAATTTTCCTTTTTTTTTTTTTTTGCTTTTGAAATTTGACTGAACCCCCCAACAAATTGAAAATATTTGGACAGCCCTATCAAACATCATTTGCTGTGCATTCTCAGTCTGAAAAATAGCAGAAACTGCAAAGAAGTGCTGTGTCCCAGAAGTACATATTAAGAAAATGAAGAATGAATCAAAGGAGATATAGTCTGCTTCCCAATCATATGATCTGAATGTAAAAAAGTTGTTTGGATTTAAGATGGGAAGAAGAGAAACCTAATTATCCTAAATTACATTATCAGGCATAACTGTTTAATATGAACTTTTTCCAGCTGCAAGCTGGCAAAAAGACAGACGGTTCTCAACAGGGTGTCTTAACACTCGTGTGTGCATTTAGGCAGAATCAGAGGGAGATTCAAGATGCATCTGTTATCTCACTCAGAGATGTCTCTCAGGAGATTTAGGGAAAGTGGGCACTTTCAGTGTGGGGTTGTGATTAAGTTAGTAGACTAGGGCCAAGGAGATTGACGTTCAAGTCCATCCTCAGTCATGAAAGTTTTCTGGATGACTTGGGGCAGCCACCATTGTTGTGAGGAAATGACAAGCAGAGTGGGAGAGGAATAGACATGCTTAGTCTTCTGGAAGAAAGGCAGTGAAACAAGCCTAGGATACGAAGGAAGGGATATATCAAACCCATTAAAAGGGCATGCACAGATCAGCAGGGATTTGCAACATTTTTGAATCAAAACTTTGTGAAGTGTTTGGCCCACCACTACCCAACTGCCTCTTTGAAATCTTTGACAGAAACTTAAGTGACTAAACTGAGTATTAGACAATTAGGACTGTCTCTATTCTGATGTCCTCTACATGTTCTGGGATTGCAATGCCCAGAATTTTCCAATATGTGGAGGTCCCAGTCAGTGTTTCCCAACCTTGGCAAGGTTAAACGTGTGGACTTCAAAAGAAGTATCACCTGCTAATGTTGCTTTATAATCTGATTAGGCAAAGACCTAAATTCCCTAAATAAAGATAAAATAAGCAAAATCTTTAACAAATCCAAACAGCTGCAGAACACAGACTAAGTAAAACTGACTGCAGGCAGCAAGGCATGATTCTAAAAGCAATAGCAATTTAAAAAGAAATAACCTGGGAAACTAAATGGCCTGGGAGAATTACAAAAAAAACCCCAAAACATTTCTGAATACCAAAAGGATACAGCACTGATGTCAAACAGGGGATCCCAACCCCTCCAAAAAGAGCAGACACCAGCCTTTCCCAGTCTGGTGTCCTCTAGATTTCCAACTCCTACCACCAGCATAGTAATGAGGGATGATGGAGTTGTATAAAATATTGCAGTGAAATTCAGGTAGGACAGATTGACCAAGGGCGATGAGTCTTTCATGTTGTTGCTGTCTTCTCAGTGCATTCTATATCAACTTAATTCTTTGTGGAATTCACAACCACAAGATGTGGTGATGGCCTCTAATGTGGAGGGATTTCAAAGGGGGCTGGATAAATCCACAGAGGACAGATCTACCAAGAGCTATTAGTCTTGAGGATTTAATGTTACCTCAGTGTTGGAGGCAGCATTTCTCCAAATACCAGTTGCTGGGGAACAATGGCAGATAAAAGCTATGTCTCCATCTTTTGATTCAGCTATCTCAAACGCATCTGGTTGGCCACTGTGAGAAACAGAATTCTGGTCTAAGAGAAACCTTGGCCTGAGCCAACCAGGCTGTCCTTATGTTTTTGGTTTTTTTTTGGAATATACCAGGCTGGAAGAAAGCTATCATAGATAACTGGAAATTTCCAGTATGTGGATCACCCTAAAACAGGAGGATGAAAGGGAGGAAAAAAGAGGGTCATAACGACTGTCACAATCATCTATGAGTGGATGCATGCCACCTACCACTGCAGAAGCAGCTTCCTAGCAAGAAAAACAGGATCTTCAGATTTTAGGTATGAACAGATGATGTTACTCTTCATTAGCTCACTTTCTCTGGTCAGCATTCATTCTTCATATCCCACACCCATCCTTTACAAACAACACTGATATCTTATGAACATTATAGCACATCTGGTGTTCGACAACCTAGCCCCACATCACTGAAGCTAACTAAGTCAGGGACTGGCACAGCTGATTAAGCCACTGGGGAACGTCAGAGAAAGTTTATTGTGAACACCCAGCCTACTGTGATTCATTCAACACATTATGATTAAGGAAACCATGACTAGCATGATCTGGTCAACATTGTGTTAACCTGTAGAAATTGTCCCCTAAGGAACATGCAAAAAATGCCCCACAACCCAACTTTGTGAAGATAATCAAGCTAAACTGAAGATGCCTTCCATTCACTGGCTTCCTCTCTGAAACACTTACATGCTCTAGAAAACACGGTCCTATTTCACTGAGATGAGGGTCCTCGTTGTTGTACTGCTTCTCCAAGTCCCTTACAAAGCCCATCTGAAACCTGTAGATGTCTTCAATGTTGCCAAATATGATCTTCAGCTGCTCATCACTGAACATATCTCTTCTCTTCCGACACTGCTTTAAATAACCCTGGAGGAACATACAAAAAGAAACTAAGTATACAGCCCCCTTACAAACAGACTGTCTGTTCCCATAGCCCCATACTGCCAGACACCATAGAAAATATTATCCCAAGATTAGCACCAAAGGAAAATTCAATCCCCAATGTAATCAGTATTTTGGCCACTTCTAGATGGGCTGATAAACAATCAAGGTTAATCCTTTGGCATAGTTGGGAGCCTCAAAGAACTGCACTACAATTCACAGGCTATGTTTGCAAGTTGGTCAAAAAGCAAATGGCTCCATCCGCATAACATGTCGAACTTGGCTAGTCTCAACCTTTTTTGATTTTCTGCATCGTACCTTGTTGCACAAATCCAGCCCAATTCGTTATTTTATGACATAGGGTTCATTCAGAAAAGGGGCTCATTCAGGAACCAAGCTAGATAGGTTGTGCACCAAGGGGGAGAGACGTGGTCAGGTTGGGGCTCTGGTAGAACAAGGCTCTGCTAAGCTCACGGGGAGGGTGGACAGCAAGATTTGGCAAAATGTCCCTTCAATGCTCCTTGAAGGCAACATTAGGCACTAAATTCAACTATTAATCCAAATAAATAAAGAAAATAATAATACACACACACAATCTCAGCTGACTTGTGTGACAGGAGCCTCTCTGTCTCTTTCTGCTGTCCCTCGGTTCACATTCAATTAAGCCAAAATCCATCTGCCAGTCTTTGCCATTGCATGGCAGATGGTTTTTTTGCTCTCACTGGTGGGCTCCAATTTGGAACCCTTTTATACCCACAAACTATTGATTCAACCTTGTTGGCCCACCTTTTCTTTGGCTTGTTTCGACATCTTACCCTCAGCAGTGCCAGATAGGAGCTACAATCGGAACCCATTCGTTGAAAGACGATATCCTTGTAGCCAGAATGAACCTCAGTCTATCACGTGTATTTTGCTGTTGCCCTTTCTATACCAATTTATGTGCAGGAATATCTTTAACACCTCTTAATCTCCTATAAGGGAGAGATGATTTGTTTCCTATTTGTAGATCAGAATCTTACCAGTAGAGTTGCTGCTAAGTTTCTGTCTAAAGCGATTTCCATTAGCATAAGGCATCTTAATCTTTGAGTGATGACATTATAACATTTTATTTTTCCTTTATCTTCTCTTAATTTCTATTTTATCTCATACTATTTTTATCTTTATACTATTTTATTGCATCTATTCAATTTTTCCTTTTTCTCTGCTTTTTAAGCAAAAACGTTCAAGTATTATATGACTGATACTCTTGTGGCATTTACTTTTATCTTGCTAGTCACTGACTGTAACTGACTACCTGTAATTAAACAGTCCTTATCTTTTTTTTAAAACCTTTTGAAAAGAGGGGGAGTGCTTATTGCATGTGATCCCACAGTACTGCCTATTATATAAAAAATCAGTCAATTCCTGGATTTCTCCCAACAGAAAAGCTGCTCTCTCAGCACCTGTTGGTAGCCAAGTGAACTCTTAAGAAGCTTGGAAGGGTCAGATGATACTTCAGCTCTACACCTACTAGTTGCTAACCCTTCCTTTAAAGAGCCCTTGATCCTCTCTGGAGCTTGAGATGCATATGGCTGGAAAATGGTAGATAACAAAGGGTTATCCACTGCTGGATTTGCACAACATGCTTAAATAGATCAGTTAAAAATCAGTAGCTGCATTTGCAAAACAAGCTGTTCGGTTAATCTTCATTAGCTTATTTGTGAGTATGGGGGGGTGCTTAGTGTGTGAACTTGGGCTGCAAAAGTTTGAAGATGTTCATGCAAAGCATCTGGTGTAACAAGAAAGCAAAGTAGCCACCTTGTTTTGTTAATTTCTGACACTTCTTTTGGTATATTCAGTGAAGGAATGACGTGTACTAAAGTCTCTGAGGCTTTCAGACAATTCCTGGAAGTGGTGGAAGAGGTTTCAATGCAATGCAGAACGCTCCTTATGGGAAATGGTCTTGCTGCCTTGGTTTAACCTAGAGAATTGCATCACCTTTGCATCATGAAGCACCCTTGTGAAATGAAGACAAGCCATCGTGCGAAGTCTACTCTGAAACATTTGGTTCCTTCATAGTTCATGCACTGTACAAACCCAGAAGATGGGCTAACTCAAGCATGTTATATCTGAGCTACATATTTAACCTGTTAACATCACAAGAAAAGGTGATGAGGACCTCTAAAGTGGGGTAGTGTTGTTACACTTAGTCCCTTCTCACTGAGGGTCTCACTGAGCTCCTGATCCTGGTGATGTGACAGTGGCAAAGGCTACCTATGGAACAATTCTAGATGAACTGCTCCATAAAAGTGTTCCTTTTCTATTAGAAAAAAGTCAGCTATCCATCGCTGGCTTTGTTAACAAGCAGAAAAAATGATGGACCTCCTATGCTGGAGAGAATTTTGCTAAGTGATAGGCTGTAAATAGTCCCCAAGACCATTTCCTTCTAAAGTACTTTTCCATGTAGTCCCTGTGGACCACGTTGGGGGAATTTTTGCAGGAGGTTACGTGCCAGCTTTTCAGAGCCTTAGACACATAAATTTGGGAATTGTGATGCAGTATCTATCACCGTTTGTCAACTGTTCCTATCTCTGGGGATCTGGTAATGGAAGAAATGGGCAGACTCCACATGATTGTTGTTATGGAAGTGAGGTCTCTCAGAGAATCCAAAGGTTTTGTTACAAGAGCTGAACAGAAATAATTTTCCATCCTATTTGTGGTCTGAAGAGTGAGGGGAAATTGTTCACTGCATTTTTCTAAGAGCGGATGAACTTCTCCAGAAGATCAGGGACTTCTCAGGCATGAAGCCCATCATCAGCATTCTTGTTCAGTTTGGTCCTTTTCTCTATGGTGGCTGTTCTGTGGCAGTGCCAAGAAATCTGGACATTTTTGTATATCCCCTAGCGCTCTCCACCTAGCATCATTCTGATGTATTTTGAAGAGGTCAATTGCTTTTCTCCCTTCCATCAAGTTGTAGAGAATATTTGGAGAAATGTGGCCAGATATGACATCTGTGTGTCAGAGTAAACATTAACAACGGTGAAAACATTCTCCAAATTTTATTTCTGTTTGAAATAATGCTCCTCTAGGGGAGAATCTCAGAAGGTATTTATAAAAGTAGCAGCAGCAGCACACAAGCAAAGATGTTCATCATTATCACCACTGGTATTACCTTTCTATTCATGGTGTGCAAGTCATCCTGATTTGATTCTGGCATTTTTAAAAAATCTGAAATGGCCGGTCCTTTCCATCTGAAACGGTTTTTTCACTCAGAACTTTGGAGTGTGGATTTTGTGGATATGCAGGAACGATCCAAATGATTGAGTTGATTTCTTCTGACTATGTGATTAATTGGGAGATGCAATGGAATTTCCTTCAAACTGAACCTCTGAATCAAATATCCACACAGTATCCCTTCTGAAAGACCTGCACCCGTAGGCTCTTTTTCCAAGGAGGTTTTCTTGGACATCTTCGAGAAGCTGTGAATGATGATTTCATTCTAGCTCCATTCCTGAAGCCAATCCTTGGCTGCTGTCTTGCTATCTCGAGCAGTGAGAAGCAGTGGGATCCATGGATCACATTAATTTCCCATAATACTTCCAAGCAAATGTCTTTCTGGAGCATTGTGGAAAATTAAAGGGATGGCATAGACTCAGACACCTAATTGGAAGCATTGTCATCTCATCCAGGTAATTCAACCAGGGATTGCTAAGAAGCAGAAATAGGATTCAAGAACTCTTTACCAACTCAAAGCTGGATTTGACCCAGCTGCGATACAACAATTTTCAGAATTATCATGTCTCTGCATCCAGACAGCCTTATAATAGATCCATTTCTCTGAATTCAGACAGGGTCTGAATAGGGAATTATGAATTCCAATTATAAAGCGTTTCTAGTCAAGACTCAGTTTCTTGGAAATGACAATGTCATCTGCTCCAGTTCTATTTGTGTTCTGTAATTCTTTACATCTCATTTATTTTCTCCTGCTTTGTTACTGTGTTCTTGAACGTGGATCCTATTTTGTGGTTTGCCTTGCGATTTGGACTCCTTTGTCCCCATTTTTAGTCACCTTCAGGGCCCAATTTTACTGGCTCTGCACAGGAGAACTCCTGGGTTTGATCCTGGACAGATTATAGACTACACTGTATTGATTTGGTCCACTGACTTTACTAGCGTTAGTTATTTAGTGATCCAGGCAGGAAAGGATGTAAAATAAGGCCACACACCTCCTTTCCTATTAATCAAATCTTTATTACGGTCATAGACCAGCATAAGGAGGGTGGGGTACAGTCAACTAAAAAGCATGGAAGACATGTCAGAGTCTAAAAAAAGAAAAGAAAAGAAAAAATTATAAAAAGCTAAAAGATACTAAAACAGAAAGTATATATAAAAGTCTATAAGGATCTACAAGAAGGGGTAGGAGCAGTAGCTGAGTGTAGGGAGCGTAAAGGGTTAGTATGTGGAAGACTATATCTATCCCATTACAGAACACTCTAATATGGCAAACTAGGTGATCATTAAGTCTAGTTTACAGCACCGGGCATCATCCGATGAATTTTGAGTGTTGTTGCGCAGAACCTGGCAACCTTATATGTTGGGGCAGGGTTGGTATATGAGAGCAGCAGGATGGGGCAAAATTGTCCTGTGCACCCTGGGTACTTATGCAGTAATGGTGAGATGAGGCTAGTGCGGATGTCTCTGTAATACAGGCCCTGGAGAAGCACATGCTCTGTTGTGTCTGCGTGTCTAGACTCACAGGGGCCTTGTCTCTCCAGGTTAGGGATCTTCCTGTGTCGGCCCTCAAGGACAGCTGAGGGGAGGGCATGCCATCGTGACCGCCCTTCCCATTTTTCCTGCACTGGGGCCAAAGCCAGCACCCTCAGATTTCACTTAACTACAGACAAGCATCAAGGTATTGGGCTGGCACCTAAAGGGTTTAAGTTGTCTTTCCAGCTTTCTGCGGGGCTGCCCCAATGCTGTGGTTTTGTCCACTTAATTTGGGCAGA